AGCGATCGGGTCCTCTCTGTTCGTTATTAACGCCGTCCACGGGGAGATTCCTCGTTTACTCCTCGAGGATACGATCTCGTTCACGTTCGTGGCGCGTGTGTAAGTATTCTTTCGAAATTTAAAATTAGTCCAGGAACAGGTAGACCCCTAGGGTTTAGCGATTTCACACACTTCAATTACTCACGGACCGCCGGCTTTGTAGTTTCTCGTGAATTTTGAATTCTTTTCCTTTAAACTCGTCCGGCATCTTGATCAAAGTTAACCCCGTACTTTGCCTCCTGCGTCCCCACGGATGAAGAAAGTATGGACAAGGGGCAGCTTGTTAGAGAGTTCTTGATTTTACATAGGGTTTATGAAATGAAATCATAAGACGTTAATTTGGTCGTTTATTTTTTAATGTGACGAATAATAATTGCCTTCTTGTTGGGACTCGTCTGAATCGCGAAATACAAACCACGTTTTGCACCTGTAACCCTCGAAATACCACAGAGGTACTTTATACCCACCACATTACTATTTTGAGAATTCTCGTTAAAATAATTAATAAATTTGTTTAATTTTAATGGAATACTTTATAAGAAGAAATATTCAAAACTTTTTATAAGAAATTATTAGCATTTATTAGGTGAGCTGAAAATACAACCCATTGGTAACAAAAAAATCTTGATACTGCGTGGATTAATGTTCTCAAACGAGAGACCTCTCGATGCGTAATACTTTAAACTACATATACCCATTTCGCCATAAGAGTTAATGACGAACAGCAATCAAGTAATTACTACGGTATACCAGTTGTTACTGTAATATGCATAAAATTAGACGTTAATTCATATACCCATTCATGAATAATAAAAATTCGTATTTTAACGAGCCCTGGCCTCGTCAAGCTGATGAGCAGGTCACGTGATTACAATGCGGCGCACATACGGGATTGTTACGACAAAAGGAAAACGGTGTCAAATGGAATTTTCCAAAATGAACCTGCCGAGTGCATGGTAGCAGAGAGAACTAAATAGAGTAGAAGACACGGTAACCATTTGAAACGTCCCAGGGGACCAGACAGACGTCTCGAGGCAATAAAATAATGTGCTATCGTGTGCTGCGACTTCGACGAACCCTGCATTCGCGCGTCGTACTGAAAAGCCTCCCACTTAACGCGCTTCACTGTACACCGGCTTAAAGTCGACTGTTCGTCACGACGGCTTTCACAGAATGCACATAGGGCACGCGAGTGTTACGTTTTCTGCGCAAAAAGGGCACAGAATACGAAAGCAATATCTGTCACTTGACTGTGCTCTGTGCCAGGCTTCTTGGATGCCTACAGAGGTAAAAGGGTCTCGATCGATGGGATTGTTCAATTTATTCGAGCTAGTAGAGATGTTTTTGCACTCTTTTCCTTGAGGACTACATTCTATCCATTGTATCGAGATTCCGAGATTATATTTGTATCCGTACATGAAAAATTCGAAAATTGTAGCAGGATAAAAATGGAACCTAAGACAGACTTCAGATTTAAACTAGTGGAGGTATTTTGATTTTGTTTAGTCTATCGAAGTTGTAAAACAAATTACACTTCTACATGAAAAGATTAAAAAATTGTAGCTATATGAAAGTGGAATGTCCGGTAGGCCTAATTGAGACTTGGTGAATGCTAGTTCAGATTGTTTGTTTTGAGATAAATTATTCTGGATCAGAACGTTCAGACCAGTCGAGTAGAGTTATGAAACTAGGGGAAAGGGGAGGGTGCTGTACCTCTTAATAATGGCAACAATGTGAACCAATTGCAGGATCAAAATTGAGTTGTTTATCAGCCTGTGTCGATCGATCGGCCCAGAACGCTAATACATTCCGTGGCTCTTAGCGAGCTATCCCAAAAACGCGTCTACGTATCATCGCCTGGTCAAAAGCTGGTTAAAGCGCGTTCGACGGACAAATTCGCAGCAGAATTAATTGGAATCAGTCGGAACGCAGAACTGGTGCAAGCGGCTGTTCCTTTATGAACGCCTCGTAAACGCGCCGACGCGCACAAAGCTCTGTGCCGTGAAACGAAATCTGTCGTTACTCGTTACCTGACAATTATTATTAACGTTCTCTATTCGTAATACGCCAGCCGGAGACCGATTCACCGGCAGGCTCGACAGGCACCCGTCTGTAACAAAGCTGGTGTTAACCATATTTCCTACGATGTCTTTAATATCACGCGGATTCACTCTGTCGGTGTAAAACAAGAGACACTTGTAGCTGTTGTGTTCAACGACTGAAAAGTTCTGTCTTTGTGACGGTTCTTTCCAGATATAGCCGTAGATCGCTTTAGTTCGAGCGTTTAACACTCAACCGTCTTCGTAAATGTAAATGACATTGATTATACGTTTGTACAAACAATATTTACTCCTGTTCTTTCATACCTTTCCATTCTTTCTGATAATTCATAATAACTATACTGCGGATTTTTATGCAAAATGACATTTTCTAAAGTAATTCATAAAGACAAGAGCAAATACAGGAATTTCGTTTTCCCCTTAAGTATCATTATTATTAGATTCAGAATAAAACAGAAAACTCGTTGCATTTGACGAAAAGTTTGTTATTGCGTTTCACAGAGTCTTATAGACTATAATTGCATAAAATCCGCAGTGTATGAATGACACTGTGGACCCAAATACAGCCTTGATCGGAACGAAATGGAAATATTTACGACATGACAAAAAGTCAGACGGGTTCGTAAAGTATTCCCACGCGAAGGTTATCCACGTGACGTCAGACACTGGGATATTCATGGGCCATGTACGCGCATCCAGCGTCATTTTAAATCCGAAGCTTTCTTCCGTCCGCGGGATGAAGCCAGCGGAGATTTGTTTTCCTTAACGGACCACTACTTCTCACGTAGAGGCACTAAGTTATATATGCGCATAGGAATGCAAGCTACCGTCATCGGGGCTTTATATTTTGCTCGGGCGAACGTGCGCCGAAAACTTCAACGCGGAAGACCCATAAGAGATATACGATCCGTGGCACGGATTCAACTCGCGACCAGAAACATCGAATACGCGCCGCCTCGAATCGTGATCGATCAATTCATAAATAAGTAAATTCGATTATACGCGCACGTGTTACCCCCCATTCGCTAATAGATTTCCGACTGTGTACATCACACGTTTGCTTATGGAAAACAGTTGGATATCTCTCGAAAAATAATTTCCCAAGTCGCACGATTTGTATGCATCTTTGTAATTCTTCTGTTAAAACGGAAAGTTGTAATTTAAGCTCGTAGATGCCTTTTAAAGCAGTTCCTGAATTATTCAAGGGCTCTTGAATATTTCAGTGGAATAATAACCGATAAAACTTTGTTCGTCGCGCGTTCTTTTTTTCACGAATGTCACTTTCCCATCAATGACGAGACTCGTGTAATATTTAAAACGACGAGAAAATATTTGATTAATTGTGTGTAATTCCATGTGCGAGTGAAGGCGAAAATGTGCTGTATTGTTTCCAAATTCAATTACAAGGATATACGTATGTGCAATTCCCCGTTCTTGTGGTTTAATTAATCCTTCATTTTGATTTACGAAACGCAAATTCATACAAATATCATTCATTTGCAATTTTGAAAGCCTCGGGGTATCTTTGAAATGTACAAATGAAAACTCTTTTTTGTGTTGACGGCTTAAAACAATGTGAAAAATATCAAATTTTACACATAGGTACTCTACAGATAAACCAAATAAATGTAAATTCATATTTCTTGCTTGTTTCAATTTTCGTTATGGTTAAATGTAATGGATAAAGATATAATTGCTTATTCTACGAAATTTATAAATTTTAGCCTGTGTTAAACCGTTATCAAGTTTAACGAAGCGAACAATTATTGGACCATCCAAATACAATTACTGACGCCTCTGTTATTATTAATTACATTGGTGTGGATTTTGCATCGCGATTGGAGGAAATTAATGATAATGTTTATTTTACAATGAAAAATCATTAGACGTGCTATATAAATAAAATTATCTCCATTTTATAGAATAATATGTCGATAACACAAACATAGAATCAAAGTAAGCGTCAGCCACGTTTGAGTTACATTCTTAATTGCCAGAATAAATAGTGTGATGATAATGGTCTACCTTATCTTTCTCAACCTCATCTCTTTCAATGTGTTCTTACGTGCTTGATTCTTTATTCCCTACATTCAAGTCTCCTGCATCTTATCCCCCTAAATTGAAACTAGTTTTGTTTAGGCTTAAGTTTTATAGGCTATACCTCAGTCTTTGCGCACCATTCTATATTGTATACCACAGGTTTATTATTTCCTTTTACGCGTAATAAAGACGTTGTAGAAAATAATAATTGCTGGTGTCCTAATTGCATTCTATTTTATATCACCCGGTATCCTAAAACCCTATCTTCATGAACACTATTGCACTATACTCTTGCATCCTATTCACCTGTAAACTGCTCCCTTGAACATTATCCTCTTATTCACCTATACATATACTGTCCCATTGAACACTATCCTATTACATCATATTCACCTGCATCCCCTTGAACAGAATCCTGTTGCACCCTATTCACCTGCGTATTTTCCACTTGAACATTATCCTCTTGCATCTTGTCCCTATCCTCCCATGTACCCTATTCATCTAGCCCAAGGGCTGAACAAGTTTTTTTTGCCTGCTCGAGGACCTCAAGGAATACCACCTCATCGGTCAAATTTCATAAAAAAATAGAAAGTTCAAGGCAATTCAGTTTCAAACATTGCCTCGTCAAAACAGCCCGAAACGGCCCTCGTTCTCCGTTAGCCCCGCCAAAAAAACGTATCGTGCCGGATATTCGAGCGTTATCGCAGGGAATTGTTAAATCGTTAAACGAACACCGCGTTCGCTCATTGTAATCTATAGAGTTTTCCGTGCCGGCAATTTTATTGAAAACGACGGAGGTTCGGGTCGGGCTTTCAAGGAACAAAAGGTAGGTGTGTGGTAGAGATAAAAGGCAAAACGTACCCGAAACGCATCCCTCAACTCCTGCTCTTCCTGGTCCTGATCCGTGGGGGCGGTCTCGTTCGCGCCAATGTTGCTCACGATCTCCACGAACTCTTCGAAGCTGACATTTCCATCTCCTGGAAAAAAAAGGAAACGGGGAGAATACATCACGTCTATTTCGTGGTCGTTTCCATCTCGTTGTTTCGGGGACATTTTTTCGCGACACGGGCTACAACAAGACGAATGGAATCCATCCCCTTCCACCCACCACCCAAAATGTTCCAGGGTTACGATCCACCAGGGCGAGAACGAGAAATACCGCGGACAGGGAAAAAACAAACTTTATCGCGAACGGCGTGTCGTTCCGTTCCGTTCCGATAAGGACCGTTCCCGCGGAAAGGGTTTCCTATTTTTACTTTTACGTTCCCCAAGCGTGGAAAACTCGTCCTTCCAGCGGCGGCTGTCGCGAAGGCACACTGGGGCGAAGGTGAGAACGCCAGAAGCCACAGGCATCGAGGGATTAAACGAGCTTCGCCAACTCTGGACTATAAGCGGCCCCCCGTTTCTCAAACGGGCAAAGCTGCTTTCCCCGATGCTCGACGCTTTCATCCTGGAAATCGTGTTTTCCGTCATTTGCACTTTTCACTTTTTTTTTCTGTGTAACCGCGAAACGGAGCCGGGAAAGACTGAGAGCAGACAAGATACGGAGTCAAAGGAGGATTCTTTGGACGAAGGGATGTTGGGAATTTCTTAATGGGCAATTGCCGTGAGAATTTTCGATCCTCGAGAAAAGTGGCTGTAATTTTCAGTGACGGGAATTGTACATGTGATCCAACGATTTGCTGCTATCATAGTTTCGTTAAGTTGAACGATTCTTTAAGAGATTAGTGCCTAATTTTTGGCCTGTATGGCTTAATACCTGCTCGTGTCTTATTCTGGTGAATATGGAGTACATTCGCAGATCTCTTGCACCCCGTCGATTGAATTCGAATATAGAGAGTCTTAATAAGAATGTGGGACATTATCACGTGTTGTATTCTACATGCCAAACGGTAGCGAAAATCAAGAATAACGAAATTGCGTTCGTTTTGAATTACTTTTCATTTTCCCATTTACAGTGTTTACAAATGACTACATCTGCTTGTCGTAGATCAAATTACGTCAGATCCTCTTTAACCGATTCTAATTGTTTCCACGTAGATTTTTAGGACCGAAGTATTATTCGATTAATGAGTAAACATATTTATCGGATACTTTATCTTCTTTACTTTACTTAAACGTTTATTGAACAACAACAATACCAAAACAACGTCGAGATCAACCCTGTATCCGCCATATGGTTACAGCTATTTGAGATTTAAATAAACACTCGAGGTTCTACTCGGAAAAATCCTTTTAGCTGATCGCCGTGAGGCAAAAAGTCGACCCTCTATGTACACAGCGCACAACAGCTGTTGTCTCGTGGTTCTGACATTGCCGACAAACCGAAGAGGGAGGAAAATATTTAGAAAGGGATTTCCATGCCACAACAGCGCGTAAGTGGCTATTGCAGGCTTCCACGTGCAATTAATTTTAATGAAATGAAAGTATAAAAGTAGACAAAAAATTCAAGACATACCGATGGAAAAATCATTATTGTTCGGACACGCACGAACGTGATATACGGATAATCGCAAACGACATAACACGATTTATCACGGTCGAACGTGCCAGTTTCGGCTCAAATCGACGCGTCTCGTTTGTCGCTTTTGGGATTTTGCTCCTCTTGTCGGCAACCTAAACGGATTTAACTCGGGACCACTGGGCAAATATTAGTTACTGTTGCGTGCGTGTACTAACAAACCACTCATCGTTTAAGCGGTTAAACGTCACGAATTTATCCTTTGTTCCACCTCGAACGTATTAGTTCGCTGAAGTTCGAGCATGGATCTTTTGTCCGCTACCTCCTAGACTATAGTATCGATCTAAATTCAGAGATGTTCCTTTTCCCAAAGGCTTTCTCAAGTTAGAGCCTATTTCTTCACCTACAATTACGAATGATACTGCAACTATGACTACTCAGGCATGAGTAATATTTATCGGCCAAGTGGACCTACGAGGCACAACAAGATCTGTACTTTTATTACGATTTACAAATAAAAGGCTTCTCCATAAAACCGAAGAGAAATTCACCATATAAATAAATCTGTCTGTGCAGAGCTACGTTCAATCAAAAACCTACTTTTCCGTCCATCACCATCATGATCCAAATACATCAAACGCAGAGGAAGGTTCACCGACTATAACAATTCAAGAAATTTGTCGAATGAGAAACACGTTATCCATACAATTTATTCAATCGAACTTGTTGAAACGAATATGTTCCTAAATTTATCGGAAGCTACGCTGGTGTTTTGTACGGTGACAAACTCGCGACACGATGCAGTTTCGATCGAGTTGATATACCCATTGATCTCGTGGCAAATTAATCTGGAAAGTGCTGGTCGATTCGAGGATGTTGGAATTAAAGGAAACTTGGAAACAAGAGTTCCGGTTCAATAGAATAACTATGTTTTCCACTGAGATAAAGGTTTACTTTGATTCCCGTCGAAATGGTGTAGGAGAGGTGGAACTTTTCGGTGAAAAGTTAGGTGTAGTTGGTGTACGATTGATTATATTTGTTTATAACTTTTGTTACTAGAAATTTTCGAGGGAGTAAGTAAGCGAGTGGAGAATGGTCGTAGATGGAGAAGTGAAAGTAGGAAAGATTGTAGAAAATGATGCCTTTAAGGTTCATGCGTACCACAATGGGTGTTTTAGGGTTGTGTTTCTTCTGTCCAGAATTAAAAAACATAAATTCATAATATAATACAGTATTTCTATCAAAGAAAAGAAAAGGGTGACACAATAAAATAACACATGAACACCCAATCAGAGAAAGAGAACCTCCCCATTGCAACAAGCAAATATGTATACCAAAATATAGTCTATCCAGATCCAACGTCGTCGTTAATGATCTTTCAGTCGATACGTCGTAAAACGTACAAGAAAAAGAAAATTCTGGCAAATTCGTAATGAAGTCCGTTGAATTACGATGATAATCTAGCTTCGTTGGTACTCAGGAATCCACTAGATATGCAACCAATTATCCAAGTTTTCATTTGCCTACGATTGCGCCGAATTGGTTCTTTGATGGCGTGTAGAGCCTTATGAAATTTTGGCATATTCGCAATGAAGTTCGTTGAATTTCGGTAATAGTCCACTTCGTTGGCATTCGGGAATCCGCCCAATTGTGCAACCAATTATCCAAGGTTTAATTTGCCTATGATTACCCCGAATTGAATCCTCCGTGGTGTGTAGGAGCGAATGAAATTCTGGCAGATTCGCAACGAAATCCGTCGAGTTGCGGTGATAGTCAGCTTCGTTGGCAGTCAGGAATCTGGCAGATTGCTCTGGTAGCCACGTATCCGTGTCACACTTGCTCGGTGGCTTCGTTCGCCCACGTGCATACGGAACACGCAAGCTGTGCATGGGGTAGCTAAGCGGTTGGATTTCGGATGGTAAATTCCGGGGCGACGTAAATTCACAGGCAACATATACACTGGGGTAACCGTTCTCTCCTCCACTGCTTCGGAATCTCCTGACGCATCTTAAACGGAGTCCGCCGTTACTTCGTAAGTTCATCGACAAAGACCGTACTGGGGGGAACATCGTAGAAAATGAGCTCGAGTCGTCTTGGAAATTAGAGTCGCTGTCTCGTGAGTCTCTTAATAAACTGGGACACGTAACATACTAGCCGAGGGATTGTTGTTTCTTGACTCGGCTTGTAATCTCTTTACAGGGAAACATTGCAACTGGTGGAGTTTCTCACCTGTCGCTGTGGAATTGTTCGAATGAAGGGTCGTTTTTATGTGCAGTTTGATGTTGAGAATTTTTTGTTTCTTCGAATTGTTTGTTGAAAAGAACCAATTGGAAATTTTATCGAGTACGCGTGTATTCACGGTGACGGTAAGTAGAAACGGAATGTGATGAACGGACGCGTTAACAAAGTCCTATTTAATTGCACGCGTATCAAGCAGATATTCAAAGTCGAGTATCTCGGAAATAAAGCATAAGGGAAAAAGTTTTATTGTATATTTTTGATTGGATTTTGCATGTAGAATAATTTCCTGTCGGTTGTACTACCCGATCTGAAACACCCTGTATATTACAGTGTTATACATATAGGGTGTTAATGTAATTGATGTCTGAAGTCTAACTGAAGTCTCAAATGAAAAAGTTTTATTCTACATTTTCGACTTATTTTTTCACATAGAATCAACCCGTCACTGGTTGTACCAGTTACATCACAGCCTATATATCCTACATCATTTTATCAGGATCAAATTGGGCTCCCAATTCAAAGAAACGTTACCAATTGAATAAATTTAGAAAGCTTACAGGGGAAAATATAGTCACCCTACAATGTTTTACACAGAAATGGATGAATCGTGTCGTTTTACAAACAGATCTCGTCCAACAAACGAGAATTCATTGTAACAGTAATTCCCAACCAACCGATTCGCATAAATTATCCAAAGAAACAAATTGCTCGAAGCGATTCCCATAAATCCCATACAAACTCTTGCTCGCTAGGAATCCAGAAGCGTTCCATTTAAATTCCCGATGCGCTCGTCAGGGCCAACAAAGGCGATACCCAGCACGTGCGAGTGTAAACGACAAAGTGTTCGTCAAAGTCGAAACCGATCGGCAACGCGTGCAGGCATAAACGACAACGGCCTGGATCGGGGGGGCTAAACAAACTGCAATTTGTCGAACGACGTCGGTCGAAACGGTCGCGAGGAGTCCGTAGGAAGAGATGCTAACACGGAAATCATCGAATGGATACAAGCCCAGATGCATTCGGTGTCCTCGTCCAATTCGTTTTAAACTCCGATCGTGGGGAATGTTTCGTCGGTAACCCGTATCGATATCGCCGGCAATGAAATCGTATTTCCGAGCGTGTTTCCAGCGAACGAGCTCCATTCGTTCTGGTACGGTTCAGATATTCCAGCATCTTTCGCATCGCTTTTGCGAGCACGAAGACGCCTATTTCCGTTAACGTGTTTTAAGTAGAATCGAAGGCGGATAGCCTGTAGCTCATTGACCTTTGAAGGAT